ATAAATACCCAGACACGGGACTGTTAGATCATATGGTAATTCTATTTTTAATTTGTGAGGAACCTCCATACTTCTTCCATAGCACCTACACCATTTTACATTTCCCTCTTATTTTAGTTCTCTCTTGCAGCATTTTACCTAGCCGACTTCTCATTCCTTCGAGAAACTCCTTCCTTTGTGTCCTAGGGTGGCCCCCTGGCTTCTCTTCCTCTGCTTCCTCATGGAGTAGATCTAATTGCTCAATAGATATTTCCATCTCAATGTCCCCCTGTTTGCCTCTATCTCTACATGCTCAAAACCAAGCTCGTGATCCTGTCCTCTCCATGCCAAGTATATTAGTTTGCTAGAGCTGTAACAAAGTACCACAAAGTGGGTGGCTTAAAATAGAGAAATGTATTGTCTCAGTTCTGGAGGCTAGAAATCCAAGATCAAGGTTGGCAGAGTTGTTTCCTTCTGAGGGCTGTGAGGAGGGATCAGTTTCATGCTTCTGATGGTTTGCTGGCAATCTTTAGCTTGTAGAAGCATCACCCCAATGTCTGCCTTTTTTGTTCACCTGCCTTTTTTGTTCACATGATGTTTTTTCTATGTGAATGTCTGTCTACACATTTCTCCAGTCATGTGGAATTAGGGTCCATTGTAATGACCAAAGATGCTTGAGGTTGGGACTTCAACCTATGAATTAGGAAGGTGGCAAGATTCAACCCATAACACCAAGCAAACTTTTTTTCAGATATTTCTAATTTCAGTGAATTAAACCAATGTCCACCATGTTGCTCAAGCAAAAATGTGGGTATCATCTGTGTCATGTCACTTGCTTGTATATTAACTAGGTTTCAGAGCTCACAAAAATTGGAGGCAAAATTTTGGAATAGGAACTATAGCATCCAATAGGTTTACAAAGAGGCCTGTGACTCCCAACTGGCTGACAACCTCTGCTCTATATCTTTTTTTTTAAAGCATTGACCACCTTGGTACAAAAGTAATATGTATGTACAAATTTTGGAAAATTACAGAAAAGCATACAAATAAAATTTTAAATTATCCTATTATCCACTTACCCAGAATCATTTCTTTGTATGTTTTATGCCTTTATGCATTTTTTTTTTTTTTTACTAGTTGGGTCATACTGTATGTAAGATTTTGAATCTAACTTATAAAATTCAACATTGGATGAGAAGTGTTTTCTCATCTCTTCTTCATAAATAGTTTCAAATGATGCATTTTATTATATCAAATGGTAGACTATGATTGACTTAGGTATTTTCTTACTATCCCATTGTCAAACATGCAGATGATGCCAATTTTTGACTTTTATAAAATAACTAGAGGCCTAGTTCATGAAATTTGTGCACGGGTGGGGTCCCTAGGCCTGGCTGGCAATCAGGACCAATCAGGGCCTTCCTTCCCGGTGGCTGGTGGCTGCCGGCTGCCAGCTGCCAGCTGGGGCCTGTCGACCAGGGGAGAGACTGCAGGAGGTTGGCTGTGGGAGTGCACTGACCACTAGAGGGCAGCTCCTGCATTGAGCATCTGCCCCCTGGTGGTCAGTGCGCATCATAGCGACTGGCCGTTCTGGTTGTTTTGGCATTCGGGTCGCTTAGGCGTTTATATATATAGATGCTGCAACAATCTTTGCTATTAATTTGGACTCAAATAATTTGTTCATAATTCAGATGCTCTTCAGCTGGCAGTGAAGGAGGAAGGTGGACATAGTGTCTTTAAGCAAATTATTAGTGTAAATTGAAGGAAAGCTAAACTTATCTATGTTAACAAATGATTTAGGCATTATCTGTGAATAGTTACTTATGATTTATAATTTATTCTTCATTGAATTGCTAAGGTAGATCACAATAGAATCTCCAGTCAACATTTTGCTTTTTAGTGATTCTTGATAGTCTATAATGAGCTGTCAAATGGAACTTTTGGAATAATGGAAATATTCTCTTTATCTGGTCCATCCAATATGGTAGCCAATTAGCCACATGTGACTATTGAACACTTGAAATGTGGTAAGGGCAACCAAGGAACTAAATTTTTAATTTTATCTAATTTTAATTGTCTTAAATTTAAATAGCTATTTGTGGCTGGTGGTAACTATATTGGATAGTGCTGTTCCTGTCAAGACAATGACTAAACACTTCTATAGTGTTTTATCTTTTCTGAGACACTTTTACATGCTTTACTTATTAATATATTTAATCCTCACAATGACTCCATGAGGTAATCTTCCAGTTACTAGTGCTGTAGAACTAATTATCCCCAAGCTTAGTGATTTAAGACAATAGCACCATTTATTTTGCTTAGAAATCTACAGTTTGGGCAGAGTTCATCAGAAACAACTCATCTTTGCTCCACAGAGCAGCAACTGGGGCTATAGGATCTACTTCTAAGATGACTCAGTTACATGATTGGTAAATTGCTATTACTGGTTTCTCTCCTCAGGGCAGCTTGGGCTTCCTAACAGCATGGTGGCTGCGTTCCAAAAGCAAGTGTCCCAAGAGACAGGACTTAGAAGCTGACAAAGGATCACTTCCAACATACTCTATTGGGTAGGCAAAGCACAGAGTATGTTGGGGCCGAGTTTTGAAATCATCATAGAAAGGTACAGTCATTTCGACTCAGTTTTTCAGTTAAGGAAACTGAGTGCAGTATCTTAAATAACTTGCCCAACGTAACAAGCCTAGTAAGTGGCCAAGCTGTTATTTATTCCAGGCAGTCTTGACTTTGTAACCTTAGTGCCTATATTGCATCGCTCTGTAATTCAAGTCTCACTCATTTAGATCTATGTTTCTCCAGTTTTTCTTGGTAGAATAATTATCAGATCGTGACTGATACATGTTCATAAGTCACAAACACTGTAAATATGTAGTATTTGCAAGGGTTTGCTAGATGTCAATTTAATGATAAAGACACAGTTTCAACCACCTCATTCAGAAGGCGCTGTTTGGCTCCAATTTTCAACTCCTCTGCTTCCATCCCTGTCTCCTACTGCTCCCCAAAGAGAATGTATCACCTCCAGACTGGAACAGTATGATTCTGAGTAACACCCTCAGTCTTAGCCTGCTGCCTGCTTCACCCACGCCTCGTATATGGAATGTGTTAGTAAAAAGGAATCAATAAGTAAAACTTATGTAGAATTATAAAAGGAGTTAAAGGAATGTTTCTGTTTTTTTCTGAACTTAAGGCTTGAGGCCAAAACCTCATGTAGGTGATATATTTGCGTATATTTTAGTGTGTGTGTGTTCATCCATTCATTCATTATTGTGATTCTTGGATGAAAAATCAATAAAAAACAGGTTGAAATATACAGGTTAAAAAATATACAGGTTACCTGAAATTCTAGAGGTTGCCTATAATGAATGTAGCTTTTTACTAACTTAAGAAACCAGCAATTTCTTTTCATGTTCAAGTTCAGAGATAATGGATATTTCCATGTGAAAAGAGAGGTGGCTTTGTTCTTTGCCCCCTGGTTTGCAAATTAGGCTCCTGTTTGGTACTGTTTGCTGCAGTGATGAAATGTATCTGTCCCTGTGTAATCATTACAACACAAGTTCTTTTTTCACCAAAATACTCTTGAGAGCGCTTGAAATTAAATGTATCCAGCTTTCTGATTTCTGGGTATCTTAAGCAATATGTATGGATCTTTTTGATGTAGAAAACCTCACTTTATCACTTTATATTCTGAGTATTCCAAATGGTGAGACTTCATTTCTGTCAAAGCCCACATATTTTTTTAGTCCTCATCCTACCTGAACCCCTTTCTTTGATAATTCTCTTGCATTTTGTGTTTGAAAACTGGTACTTTGCTGGTTTCCTATACAGTTTGTTCTTTCTCTGTTATTTTAATTGGCCATTTCTTAGGTTACTTACTTTCCTATGAGGAGCTTAACTGACACCCTGCTGGCCTGCCCAGACATCCGGCTGCCCCGATGTGAGTCCAATATGTTTTGACATATCTAAAAGCATATTTCTCCTTTTTCCCCCCCAAAAGATGTTCCCTTCCCAGCTGCCCTATTTTTGAAGTCATAAAATAGGTACTCACTGTCATGTTTTTCTTCTGAAAATGGCATGTCTTCCATGGCATTCTCCGAATCTGCCATGACCTGCCCATGAGTTGACTTGTTTGATGGCTGTTTCCGGTGCTACCCTGCAAGCTCCAAGGTGGCACTGGCTAAGCCACGGTTGTTTATCACTTTCTCTATCCGGCTCCCAGCAGGGAGCTTGTCACGTAAAGGGCATCCGTAAATGTTCATTTGGATCAGTGAATGAATAAACGAGTGCTTATGTTTTCATTTTTATGCTTGCACTCCTGGGCCAACATCTTAATGCCATCCTGGGTTTTCTCCCTTTTCATACTGTGCATCTGTCAGTTTGCTAAATCCTAGGAAGCTCCTTGAGACAAGGTTCTTTGTTCTGCTTGCCCAGTGATATGGCACAGGTGCCCTGAATGGTGGCATGTGGTGAGCATTTCCTATGTCGCAGAAGTGGTTCTAAATGTCTCACATGTATTAATTTACTTCATCTTCGTAACAAGCGTAGAAGGGTGGGTAGGTACTATTAGTATGCCCATTTCACAGTGGAGCCGAAGCATCGTTTTTGTCATCGATCAGCGTCACACAGCTGCAAAGAGATGGAGCCTAAACGTGAACCCATGTCTCCTGAGTCTGAGCCAGTAATACACCCAGTGATTATGTGTGTGCTCTGTGCTGGGCACTTTGCTCACTGGGCTTTTATTCCACGCTGTGTAGGTGCTCTTAGAGGTGAAGAAGCAGAGGATGGCTTGGAGAGGTTTTAAAAACATTATCCAGGGTGGGACCCAGTTCATGAGTAGCAGGAACAGGATGGGGCCCTCACCTGTGTGCCTGAACAGCCAGACACACTAGTGTCTGGATGGCCATGGCTTTGGGCACAGACTCGGATTTAATGTGAACATTCCCCAAGTCGTGGGGTTCTCCTTGCTCCCTGCAGACGTCTAACGCAGCCATGCGGGTTTCTTCCTACAGACAGTGGTGGCAGCCACACGCTGCACTCCAAAACAGAGACGACCCCGTCGCCCACTGACAGTGCTGGGAGTGGACACCCAGAATATATTGCGTATGTGCTTGTCCCCGTGTTCTTCATCATGGGGCTCTTTGGCGTCCTCATCTGCCACCTGCTTAAGAAGAAAGGCTATCGTTGTACTACAGAAGCTGAGCAAGATGTGGAGGAGGAAAAGGTTGAAAAGATAGGTGAGTGCTGTGGATTCTTTTTATGGGAGTGTGGACGATTTTTAAGTAAGAAAATAGTCATACACACACACACACACACACACATATTCCATCCCTGTGAGGCAAGATGATGCATGCTAACCACAGGTGGTATAGTAAGCGTCAGTGTAGATGACACCATAATAACACCTACCGTTTTAAACTTGGCTTTCATTTATTAAATACTTACCAGGTAATTACTCTTACTTGCCTTGTGGTCTTGGGCAAGTTACATATGCTTTGAATCTCTGCTATGTATAATTTAACTGAAATTTAATTTAAATTAATTTAATTAAAATTTTAATTCATTTATATGAGTATAGTAATCTCTACCTCAAAGGATTATTGTGAATCTTAGAGAGAAGATGATGGGATGTGGGACACAGATGGCCACTCTGTAAATATTAACTCTCTCTACTATTATTGAGTTAGATTCTAATTTAAATGATGGGAAAGTCAGTGGATCTCACCATTTGGGGGGTATTACTTTGACTAGGGGAGCTCTGTGTTAAATCTAGGAGATTGGAGTTTATGATGTTTAAATTAGTGATTGTATGAATAGTGCAGTATAAGAAGGGCAAACTAGTGTCTTAGCATTAACTTTAGGGCAGCTCACCTTTTCCTCTTAACGAGGAGTTGTTGGGTGGTATTTAGAAACACCTAATGTGCTCGCTTTGGCATCACGTATAGAAACACCTAAGAGGTGAAATTCTGTTTTCTCCATGGATGTTCTTTCTAACCATCCGTTAGGGATGCTTCCGAACTTGAGTCTTGGGGAGTCTAGATAACTCTCCATGTCCCTTTCAGCTTCTCAAAGGGCAGTTTTTGCAGAAGGTGACATTTGCAGTAAGTAGGTCACCCTTCAAGCCAGCCCAAGGGTGGAGTGGGGGGAAGCTTCCTCATTCCTTGCCAGCTTGCCGGCCTGTTGGTTTTTCCCACCCCCACTGACCTTTGAGGCAGAGAAAGAACTCGGCTGCAGGATGAGTCATGAGCAAGCTTATGAGCAAATCAGAGCTGGGTGTTTGTCAACAGACAGTGGAGCCTCCCACCTTCTCCTTCCTAGACACTCTGCAGGTGGGCTTAGCAGTCAGCATTTGCACTGGCCCACCAGACACGCATCCTCACGGAGGAGCATCCTCATGGAGGAAGCGTCTGTGCTGGAGAAGGCACTTCTCCAGGTTCATGCTCTGTGAATTGCCGTGGAGTGTTTCAGCCCTCCTCTTCCTTGTTTATTGAAACAAATTATACAGACCAGTTTCAGAGTAGAGGTTTGATTTTTTTTTTTTCAAAGACTATCACCTATACAGTCTCCCAGAGTAAACTGATTTTGTGGGCAAATAACCATGGCCAAAATTAAGATCATCTGGAAGTGTATTTAAAAGAAAGGAGAGTCTTATAAACATGGATGAATATTACATTACCCAATTAAAAAAAACAAATTAAAACCCTACAGTTCCACTGCAATTAAAATAATCCAAGAATAATTTTTTTCCTTTCAATTAACTTTTTTCCATTTCCCCTAAGGGTTTAACACACTGTTGAGAGAGAAATAATAGTGGTATGGACTGATATCAACGCATGAAGTGATTATCTTGGAAAGTGGGTGGGTGTTTGGACTTGAGACGAGACTGATGGACCACTGCGATGCTCTTCACGTCCAGTGGAAGCAGGGAGTCGCTGCGTGCTCTGCCTCAGGCGGTCGGGGCTGAAAGAGGGGAGCCTGGGTGTCAGCACCCTGGGTGATCGGCTGAGCTTCCGAAGACTGTTCAGTGAGGTTTCGGCTCTAAGAGGGAATGTCCTATCTACTCAGTGCAGGTGACCAACTGTAACATCGTTCCCTTCCCTTTCTCTTTCAGAGTTGAATGACAGTATGAATGAAAATAGTGACACTGTGGGGCGAATTGTCCACTACATCATGAAGAATGAAGGTATGTTTTAGTGTTCCGCAGCAATTCAGTATTCCCATGTTTTATTAAGAACCTGCTCGGAAGAGTCAGGATTTGTATGGCCTCTCCTGTCGATTTTCTGAAGTTATTGGCAGCACCTTTTACCGAAGCTCAGCTTCCAGCGTTGTCCAACCATGAACAGTTCAAATAAGTGAGCTTTCTAAGAACCAGTTGGCCTAAGGGCTGCAGAGTCAGGCCTGGAGGTGGCGGCTTACCTTCACATCCTGGCTTCACCTCTCAGTTCTGGGGAGAATTACCTCATTTCCCCTCTGTAATAACAACACTTACCTGGTAGCATTGTTGTGACATACCACACATTAAGTACGTAGTATAATAAGCACTCAAATATTATCTACTCCTTTCTTGTGCTTTATGTGAAATACACATAACGTGAAATTTACCATTATATCCACGTTAAAGTGCCTAATTCATTGGCATTAGGTACATTCACAGTGTTGTACAACCATCACCAGTCTCTAGTTCTAGAACTTCTTCACCCCAGACTGAAGCTCTGTGCCCATTAAGCAGTTACCCCCCCCCCCCCCAAGCTTTATCCCCTTCCCTACCACCTGCTGGCCACCGCTACTCTGATTTCTCTGTGTCTCTGTGCATTTGTCTGTTCTGTGATCATTCTTAAATGTGCAAACTTTTAAAATGTTTAACCTTTATGGATTTAAGCATTTCCCGCCTCTGAAATGTATTCTAAACCACCATCTTCTTTCATGGCGGGTTAATTTAATCATGATCAGATACACTAGGGTCATCACCATAGGATGATTCTGTGCCCTCGGCAACTTTTGAGGTTTTCGCATCTCCTTGCCCACATACCCAATGGTTGCAGATCCTCATACTTTAGATTTTTACGAGGATTGAAAATAAAACATTCTCTGTGGGCACTGTCTTTGCCTGTCAGTGCTGACTCATGGTGTGCATTGATGCAGCTGAGCCATTTGTCCGGAAGGTGAAATGCCTCTGTATGGCCCAGTAAATGCCTGCTCTTCTGCCCCAGCCTTTCCCTGGAGAACCTCAACCTGCACCTCTTCTCTATCAAGAGCTGCTGCCCGGCCCAGGCAGTTAGTTGGTCACTGTTTTTGACTTAGAGAAACAGCCATTCCGTAGGATTCAGGATAATTTTCATTGTTCTTTACGGTGTGTGCTTCATGTATTTGGTATAGATCTAGGTGCTTTATGTGTATAATTTCATTTAATCCTCAAAATATCTCTAAAGTTAGCTTTATACCCATTTTATAGATGAAGATGTGAAGGCTCCAGGTAGTTGAGTTCACGTGGTTCATGAGCAGCCTAGTCCTACCTGGGTCTCTCTCAAGTGTAGCTTTCAGTTTCTGTAAAACCAGACTTAGTAGAATGGCCTTTAAAAGAAGAACAAAAAAGACCAGAACACTTGGATTTTGAGCTGTCTTCCAGAGATCTTCCTTCAGGGAACAGTATTTGGCGATGCTGTTCTTGGCACTCAATGGTGCATGTTTCCTTCACATAGAAAAGTGGTTTGTAATTTGCACAAGAAATACACAAACATGTTCTCGGCATAGAAGCTTCAGCCGTCACAGAAGTGCCAGTGAGGTGTGGACAGCCCTTCATTGCTCCCGTGCCTGTGGCTTTGGGGAGCTTGGAAGCCTCTGGGCTTCTGAGAGCGGAAGCATCTCCTAAATTAGTGAGTACTGGACGAGGTACTGAATCGATTGAAGTCGGTCACCTGTGGAAACTTCGCCAGGGGCTGAAGTTCGTATGTATGACTTCATAGTGTGCCCTGAATGTTGGCTGCATGCCAGGCCTGTTCTAAGGGCTTTTCAGGGACTAGTGAAAAGTACTCTGTGATTCAGGTACTTTCTTGCCATTTTACAGGTGAGAGACCGAGGCCCCTAGTGCTTAACTAACTTGCTGGGAAGTGGCAGAGCTGGGCTTGGAACTCCAGCATCTGACTCCAGAGCCTATACTTAACCACTCGCAGTTACTGCCTCCTTTGTGGTTTACATAGGGATGGTAAACTTCTTTCTTTGAAAGGCTTAAAGTATACAGCTGGGGTAGTTTGTAAAACGCTAGAAACATTAAAGCATTGAAGCCTCAGAACTACCTGATGAGGTAGGCCCGTTTTGCAGATGAGGTAGCTGAGACTCAGAGGGTAAGAAACTTGCCCACGGCCCGCAACCAGTGTGGCAGGATGGTGCCTGCAGGGAGCCCTTCTGATTACAGCAGCCAGGAGCATCTGGGCCCTGGAGCAGGCGTTCTGTATCATTTCCTTACCTCCCACACTCAAGGGCAAATTGGTCTGTTCTTTTGGTTTTTAATTATGTCCTGTCCTTTTGGAGAATAGCCTTTCTGTTTCAGCTGCGGTAATTCCCAGTAGGTATGTCAGGGTAATACCCAAGGCTCTATTTTCTGTCTGATTCTTTTTTTTTTTATTAATATGTCTTTATTGATTTTTTTTTTTTAAGAGAGAGAGGAAGGGGTAGGGATAGAGAGATGGAAACATAGAACATCATCAGTCAGCTGCCTCTTGCATACCCCCTGCTGGGGATCGAGCCCGAAACCCGGGCATGTGCCCTGACGTGGAATCGAACCACAGTGACCTCTTGGTTCCTGGGTCGACACTCAACCACTGAGCCACACTGGCCAGACTCTATCTGATTCTTTACCCTCCTCCCCTGTCAGTGCCTTCATCTGTCTGTCTGTGATGTGGCCAGTGACTGTGAGAATGGGTGGGGACTCTGGTCCTTTGTGTAGCACTGGTCCTCCTTGGCTACAAGGAGACATCTGATCTCCCAGGACGTCCCTTTCCTGCCGTGGCCCCTCCAGCTTCCAGCCTGTTCCCAAACCACAGCCGGGTGGTTACTGACATACTCTGGTCTCTTACCAGTTATAAGCCAGCTTTTCCAATTTGCCTTTGAGATTTAAATCCTCTATAGAACAAATTTATTTTTATCTTCCTTTGTCTCTGTCATTAAAAGACTCTGAACTTAACTATCAGTTTAGACCTCTCTGTTGGTGTTATGTTTATAATTCTTTTTCATTGTAAGCACACCATAGCATAATCTTTAACACTGGGGAAAAAAGGAGTAAAATTAAGTGCGATTCATCCAGTACCATTTCCCACGTTTATTTAGGTTTACTTTGCCTATATTTACGTATTTTAAACCATTTGTAATCATGATGTATGATGAGTCTTCCTCTTTGCATTTCTAATTTGGCTAACGGGGTAGTATTTCCCCTGTGCTCATGGTGACAGTCTTGTTTATGGCTTAAACATATCATGGCTTGAATGTTGCAAATCAGGTTACTCTAGATAAGGATCTCTGAAGGATGCATTTCTCAGCTGACCTGAGCACTGATTATTTTCCTCCTAATCTCAAGTCCTGGATTAGCTAGAGTGTTACCTTTAAGTTTTCTTTCAAGTGAGGTTGAATTGAGGAGTGTTTGCGAGGTCATTGGGGTGTTTTTCATTATGGAGTTTGCAAAGTACCTGCCACTCCATAGCTGAGCTCCTCTTGCAGGCCCTTTCATGGTCTGATAGAATAACAATGAAGAGTATTGTGATTATTCTCCATGTGTCCCTGACCATTCACAGGAGGCAGAGGGATTCCTTTGTGAAATTCTTACCACAATTTATATTATGGCTAAAAGGATTCCTTTACAAACTCTTGTAGGTCTCTGAAACTTGCTGTAATGGTTATGCAAACATCCTGTCAACTATTGAACTATTAATCATTGGGGTAGAGACCTGGATGAGTGGGAAGACCATCAGGTGAAAGAGTCAGGTAGACCAGTTTGTGTCCAGCCTGTCGCTGTGCCCGTGTGACTCTGGCCAGCCAGTGACAGGCTTTAGGCCTCAGTCTCTGTATTTGTAAAATGGGGTGATGATTCTGTCTATTGTTAGGGTTGTCGGGAGAGTCAAACATGGTGAGGTCTGTAAAGCTTTTGGCCAGGGACTGGCACATACCAGGTTCTCTCATTTGGCTGATGGCAATAGTAGTTCTTACTTGGGAAATTTGCCTTGATTGTAAGGGAAACAGCTGAAGAGAGTAGTGGTGGGAGAGGAAATGACCTCCCTTCTTCCCTCCCTCCCTCCTTCCTTCCTTTCTCCTCACCTGAGGATGACATTCTCTCTCTCTCTCTCTCTCTCTCTCTCTCTCTCTCTCTCTCTCTCTCTCCCTCTCTCCCTCCCTCCCTCCCTCCCTCCCTCCCTCCCTCCCCCCTCCCTCCCTTCCATTCTCTCTGAAAAGCAATGGAAAAAAAATTAACATTAGGAGTGTAATGTAACTTAGTCCATGCTAGGTAAGTTGTATGTGTGACCAACACAAAGTTTTAAGCGACCTGGCCTGTGTGGTTAAGGATGCAGAGGCAAGCCAAACGACCCACCTGGAAAATTATATTACGCGTGAGATTTTATGTGGGATGCACTTGAAATGACATGGCAGGGTTGAGAGGTTATTATTTGGGCACATAGAAGTCATTAGCACACAGGTCTCCTAAGACATACATGTTCTTACCTACTCAGAACAGTGAGCTGGATGCGGTGGAGCATGTCTGCTTTCCCTTTGGTTTGAGAGGAGGAGGCAGTGTCTTCTTGTCACACTGGGTGATGGGTAGGGAACAGCCCTCTGTTGGAGCTGCTTCCTCTGTCGATTCTCCATCACTCATCCTCAATTCCCGCCTGGGGAAAGGCATTGGCAGGTGGTACCCTGTCCTGGGGTTCCCTCCCTTCTCCGGGGCCCCAGGGCCTTATCTGTGAACTGAATGAGCTCAGTCAGGAGTTATTCCAACAGCTTTTCTGATGTGATAATTCTGTGATTACTCCTCTTTCTCGTGCTATCCTAATTCTTTACATTTATTCCCCCTTAGCAAATGCGGATGTGTTAAAGGCCATGGTAGCAGATAACAGCATCGGTGATCCTGAGAGGTGAGTGCTCCTCCCCAGCTATGGGCATTTTCTTCATTGTGTGCCAGAGCAGGTTTCCCAGCTTCGGCACTGGTGACATTGGGCCAGATAGTTATTTGCTGTGAGGAAGGTCCTGTGCTTTGGGGTGTTTGACAACATTCCTCTGCTCACTGGATGCCAGTGTCCCCCTCCCTCCAGAATGTCTGGGCACATTGTCTGTGTCCCCTGGAGGCAGAGGCACCCAGTGAGAACTGCTGTGGTAGAGAATGGTGATGGGGAAAGTGGCAGCCTTGGGGTGGGGGTGGGGGCCTGGCTAGGGTCTCACCTCTAGGATTTACTAAGCATCTTCTTGGGGAAGTTACCTGACTGCTCCGAGGTCAAGTTCCATCTCCTATAAGATGGAGATGACCACTGCACCCACTTCATTGGGTTATTATAAGGAATACGAAAGACTTCCATGACTCCTCCCTAATTAATTACAGGACTGTATTTCTGTATAATTTCTATATAATTTGTCATTCTCCAATCAGGAGCATTTATCGAGCCTGCTGTGTGCTGGGTACTGTGCTGGAACTGGGCGTTCAGATCTTTGCCAAGGAGGACTCGGTGTAGTGGGGGATGGAGATGTGTGAGCCCCCATGGTGGGTGCTGTAGAAGTAAGGGCCCGGGGTGCCAGGGGCACTGTGGGGCCTGCCAGAGGCCAGGGAAGGTTCAAAGAAGTGCCATCTGAGTCAGGCATGCAACAAGCAGAGAGAAGAGGAAGGGGCTGCATGTAGAAAGTCCAGGAGAAAAGGCCCTGGGGCACGAACGTGTGAGATGCATCTGGAAAGGTCCAGTCTGGGGTGGCCAGAGAATGTGCTGCGGACAGTAGCGAGAAGGGCTAGGAAGGCAAGTTGGGACTGAGTGACGTGGCAAGGAGTTTGGACCTTCCTGCTTACCCTGGGGGTGGTGCACCCAGCATATTTTACTTTTTTGCTATATATATATATTTAAAGCATATGTATATATATGCATCAATATATATAATTGATTTTTAGGGGGAGAGAGAGAGAGAGAGAGAGAGAGAGAGAGAGAGAGAGAGAGAGAAAACACATCAATGTGAGATTGAAACATCCATTGGCTTCCACCTGCACACCCCCTACCTGGGGATCAAGGCCACAACCCGGGCATGTGCCCTGACGGGGAATCTTACCAATAACCTTTTGGTGCATGGGGGTAACACCCAACTGAGCCACACTGGCAGGGCACATCCAGCATATTTTAAATATTTAATACGTGCTTGTCAAACTGGCCATGTTAGCTTTGCACTTTTCCGAGGTAACTGGGTGCAGGAAGGTCAGCTTAGAAAGCTCTGGTGGTGTCGGAGGATCAGACATGAGCTGTGATTTCTCCCGAGTTCCAGCCCTGAGCACAGACGCCTGGTGTTAGGACCCAGTTAGTGCATGGGATCTTTGCCTCTGGTATCTGTGGGCATCACATGGTGCCTTCACTGGGCTTTATACACAGCGGGCACTTGATAAATGTTTGTGAATGGATGTTGTTCAACTTTTGAATTCAGCCTTCTACTATGTGGTGTTACTTTAACATTGTTTTGCCCCAGAAAGCTGCTGCTGCGTAGTTGTTGTTTTTGTTTGTTTGTTTACCATATAAAGAGCATCCCTGAAGAGCACCAGGAAGCTGTTGGTGTCTGTGATATTTGTGGCCTTTTCAACCCAGGGCCACACTTCTAAATGTGCAAGCTGGCTGTTTCAGCAGCATAAAGGCTGGTGTGTGCCGTCGCAGACTTCCAGGTGCCTTGGGGCTCTGACACAGCCTTAGGTGTCAGGCTCTGCTGTGACGGATCTCCCTACCTGTATCCACTTCCACCAGGTCAGAGGGCTGGTTCCCTGTCAGGCTTGCCTGTCCTGTTTTAATTCCTCCTTTTCGAGTGGACCAGAGCCCTGCCATGTGCCTTTTGAAAGGATCAAATCCCTGGCCTGCATACTTCTGTTTGTTTGTTTGTTTTTCAGAGGGGAAGGGAGAGGGAGATAGAAACATCAATGATGAGAGAGAATCATTGATTGCAACCCAGGCATGTGCCCTTGACTGGAATTGAACCCAGGACCCTTCAGTCTACGGGCCTACGCTCTATCCACTGAGCCAAATCAGCTAGGCAATACCTCTGCTTTTTGATATTTTGGGTGCTCTCCCTCCCTCCCTTCAGATCTCCCTGTTTCTGAAGCACCATGGGATGATTAAGATCATGGTTTCTAGAATTAGACTTCCTAGATTTGGACCTCAAATCCATCACTTACAGCTGTGTGACCTTGGGTAATTTATTAAGCTTTCCTGAGTCTCAAAAATTTTTAATGAGGAAATTGATACCGACTTCATAAGGTCTGTAAAGATGAGTTAAATGAATATATATCAAATGCTTAGGTTATATGTAGGCTATTTTTATTACTATTATCGACTCCAGCATTTCTTTGGGGCATCACTTTTGATATCTCAACCTAAAAGCTTTCTTTTTTTTCTCCAGAGGATTCTAATTTTTTTCTTAGAGAGAGGGTAAGGGAGGGAGAAAAAGAGAGAAACATCGATGTGAGAGAAAAATCAATTGCCTCTCTCCTGTGTGTCCCAACCAGGGACCGGACCCACAACCTAGTTATATGTCCCAACTGGGAACTGAACCTGCGACCTTTCGGTGTATGGAATGATGCTTCAATCAACTAAACCAACTAAACCACACTAGCCAGGGATAAAAGTTTCTTTTTTTTTTTTAAAATATATTTTATTGATTTTTTACAGAGAGGAAGGGAGAGAGATAGAGAGTTAGAAACATCAATGAGAGAGAAACATCGATCAGCTGCCTCCTGCACACTCTCTACTGGGGATGTGCCCGCAACCAAGGTACATGCCCTTGACCGGAATCGAACCTGGGACCCTTTAGTCCGCAGGCCGACGCTCCATCCACTGAGTCAAACCGGTCAGGGCAAAAGTTTCTTTTTTTGATAAAATAGTCAATTGGGTCAAATATTCTCTCTTAAGTCATTAGGTAATTTGGTTGGAATTTAAGTTTATCAATCCTCCAGGGCATCTCATTGCTAGAAATCTAGGCAGGCACTTTGCTCTGGGTGAGAAATTGGTCTGATCACATGAGAATGGAGATCAGTTGTTTAGAATGAAATCTAATACTTCAAAGACAAACAGTGCATCGTCGTTGGAAGCAGTGTCTAATTCCATTCTTGAAGTGATAAATCACATTATTGCTATTTAAAATGAGCTGTCATTGCATAGTCCTAAGAGGAATTTACTGCCTAAGACTAGTACACAAAGCTCATTTGTTTAATAGGAAGAGGCATTTTTTTTCTTTTGATTCAAACCTGCTTCTTATGTAGCAGGGGGAGAGATTGCCTTAGCTCAGCGGTTCTCAACCTGTGGGTCACGGCCCCTTTGGCGGTCGAACGACCCTTTCACAGGGGTCGCCTAAGACCATCCTGCATATCAGATATTTACATTACCATTCGTCACAGTAGCAACATTACAGTTATGAAGTAGCAACGAAAATAATTTTATGGTTGGGTCACAACATGAGGAACTGTATTTAAAGGGCCAGAAGGTTGAGAACCACTGCCTTAGCTGGTGTTTCTTTTAAGTAACCATTTCTACCTTTTTGTTTCCTTCCCATCTTAGCCCCGTGACCCCCAGCACTCCTGGGAGCCCGCCCGTGAGCCCCGGGCCCTTGTCACCAGGTGGCACGCCAGGGAAGCACATCTGTGGCCACCATCTGCACACAGTGGGCGGTGCTGTCGAGAGAGATGTGTGTCAGCGGTGCAGACACAAGAGGTGGCACTTCATAAAACCGACCAACAAGTCCAAAGAAGGCCGCCCAAGGCGCCAAGGGGAGGTCACGGTCCTCTCTGTGGGCAGGTGAGATTCCTGTGGAGGCTTTGGGTGTATGTAACATGGTTGCTGTGCTGTGCGGATCTGTACTGAACTGTTCTCCTTAGCCTGGATCAAGTCAGGTCTCTGGACTTTTTAGGAGTTTTCAGGTGTGAGTTCTATATTTTTCCAACAGCGGAGGAATCCTAAGAGGCGGCTATTGCTAGATCAGATGTCAGCTGTATTAATTGAGCTAAAAAACTAATTACTTGCTGTATTAGGGTTCTTCAGAGAAGCAAAACCAAGAAGATAGATATAAATAGAAATAAGTGGAGATTTAGTATAGGAATTGGCTCATGTGGTTATAGAGGCCAAGAAGTCCCTTGAGCTGCTGGCTGAGAGCTGGAGACCCAGGAAAGCTGGTGGTGTAGTTCAGTCCAAGGCTAAAGGCCCGAGGGCCAGGGGAGCCGATGGTGTAGGCCCGATCCCAGCCTGAAGGCCTGGGGACCAGTAGGCTGGTGTCGAGGGCAGGAGAGACACCTGGCCCAGCTCCAGCAAAAAGAGCAAATTCAGCCTCCCGCTGCCTTTGTGTTGTATTCAAGTCCTCAAGGGATTGGTCGATGCCCACCCACACTGGGGAGGGTGATCCTCCCTCAGACTACAAATGCAAATGCTAACATGTTCGGAAACACCCTCCCAGACACACCAAGAAATAACGGTTTTACCCGGTCAAGTTATCATGTAAAGTTGACACACACACTTGCTGTAATAAAAAAGAGAACCCATGGACATGGAAACAGTGTGGTGATTGCAGGGTAGAGGTGGAAGAGGGCGAGAGGAGATAAATGGTGATGGGGGAAAAAAGCCCAATCCGAACTACTTGCAGAATAGAAGTTTCTGTTTCCTGTGTGGAGATGGAAAGGTCGGTGGGTGGCTCTTCAAGCAGTCACCCAGAGCCCCCAGCTTCTCCATCGGTGCTCTGCCAGGCTCGCTAGCAGGAGGAGGAAGTGCCGGAGGACCACTCCTAAGAGGTGTCAGTGAGATGGGCCTGGAAATGGCACATTTCCTTCCACTCGCATTCCACTGTCTAGAGCTCAGTCACTCGGCCACACCTCCCGGCCAGGCCAGGAGTCCACACGTCGGCTCCATGTGCATTCCTGAGACTGTTTTCTTTGCGCTCACCTCACCCGAGCCCTAAAGTACCATTTACTTGTGACTCATATGTGATGTGGATCTTGCAGTTCAAGTAATGAACAGCTTGACTATGTGTAGAGCATTTTCGCGGTGTCTGCGGTTTTGGTTTTGAGTCTCCTGCGGGAATTGCACTGCTACTGCCACATCGGTTAAGAGCGTGTGTGCTGGACCAGGCCCCGCAGGCACCGAGCAAAATTGACAGTAGGGCATCTATGATCCTTCTTTCTCTACTGACAGACTGGGAAGCGTAGCCTGGACGCATTGCATCTCCCTTGTTTGAGTCTCGGCACCACATCGTAAAAGCGCTTGCTTCTCTCTGTGCCTCATTTCCCCCTTAATAAATTGGGAATGACAGCAGCACTCACCTCATTGGGTTGCTGTGCGATGAAATAGGATGATTCACGTAGAAGTTTTAGGCCCGTTTTTGGCACTTACAATGCAACCAAGAAATGTTGGCTGTTATTACTGTTTGTTTAATTCGATTGAATTTCATCATGTGTTGCACCAGCAATGAGGGGTAGACTGCTGGGCTCTCTGCCACTTCCAGCAAAACAGTGGAACCCATGACCACACTGCTTTATTAAGAAGCAGAGTCATGGGAGTTTATGAATGTGGAATGCGACCAGAACCTGTAGCTTGTTTGGATAAAGCGAATGTTGTTTGCTTTAAAGGAAAATCTGCTGAAATTTTCAACTCTGATTCAATTAAATGCCCCCAGTGCAACTCTCCTTCTGGGATGCAGAATGCTAGGGACGTCAGCATGGGTTACTTAACATGTGACAGTGCGACAGAACAGAGTTCTGGTGACACCTTCCCCTGTCCTCCTTCTCTTCCTCAGCCTCTCCTCCTGATGGTGGGTGATCTCATTTTGGACAAAGAAGAGTTTATTCAAGATACTTTTAAGGGAACTTAAGGCCAGAACTAGAGAGAAGTTATTATGAGAAAGACCTTAGGGATTTCGTGACAATAGACTAGAAATGGAAAAACAGTCAAATTGAGTAAATTTCTTTAACTTCTTAATCTTGATGAAAAATCTCTTCTTTAATTTTCTTAATTTTTTTTCCATAATCCTTAATGAAAATTAATCCAAATTTGCTTTTTTTAAAAAAAGACGAAAACTAGGCACAATAACCCTATTACCAACTGATACTGATAAAATACATAGTTGGGCCTTTGATGGCTGTGTGTGTGGGTGGGGGGGCGGGGGGAGCTGACCCTCTGACAGATGTATCTTTGACTAAGGCAGTTTCTGGTTGAACGTTTTGGTTATGTCATTACATTAGTCTAATTTGAAAACTGGTTATGTTTTTCTCCAGCCAGATGTTAAAGCCCATGTCTTCGTTAGAAACCACAACTCAGAGGCTGAGTGATATTTGGGTACTGCGTCTGTAATGCATTTTCCATGCTCTGTGAAGTGCCCAGCATAGTCTGTGATGTGCTGAGTGAAAATAAACCGGGACGTTGGGCAGGGGCAGGGGGATTTACTGTTGACTGAGGTGTCTTCTGTTGCTGTCCTGACTTTTGGCTGAGTTCATTTGGGATCCTCTAGGTGGGTGGTTTTTGATTCACTCATCATTCGTGTTTCCTGGAAGAGCAAACATACCCTCTCTGCCCCTCAGGTTTAGAGTTACGAAGGTGGAACACAAGTCCAATCAGAAGGAGCGGAGGAGTTTGATGTCGGTCAGTGGGACTGAGAGCGTCAATGGGGAGGTGCCTGTGACCCCTCAGAAGAGAGAACGGAGAGGCACAGAGTAGCAGGTGAGTTGTAGTTGTGTGTGTGTGTGTGTGTGTGTGTGTGTGTGTGTTTTACTGATGTAAATAATGCAATAAATAAGTAAATAGAAGAGACAAATTTTCCTTACAGAATTCCAGTAGTATCTTTAGATACTCCTCTCTATAGAAGGTGAAGTGTAATTCCCTAGGGGATGGCTAGGTTCCGTGATATGCTTCCTGAAAATGGAGTAGGGAAAGGGAAAAAATATTAACTTTATTATTTTACTTTATTTGCTATTTTCACTATGTTTTCATTTATACTGATACAAAAACATACAGGTAGAGATGGAGAATGATCATTTGGTAGTCATGGAGACGAGGACATTTTATTTACAAATCTTCCTCCATCCCATCTCAGCCATCTCACTGATGGCCAATCAGGGTTGCCATTGCTGAGCTACCCTGCCAGGGTTTGGTTCTTTGCCAGGGTTTGGTTCTGGATGTCATCAGTCTGTTGTGTCCGGAGGCTCCATGGTGACCAGGCAGTCCCTGTGTGGATGGTCCATGGAGGGGCTGAGGTCCTCTGTAGAGGTGGGCTCTGGGCCCGTCTTTGGGAAGCTGGGTGAGGAGGTGGTGGAGCTGCTGCCCAATGGCCAAAGTCCACGCCTCCCTGTCCATATCCTCCCGTGGGAGATATTGGTGTGTCCACCTGTAGGTGAGTGTAGTTTTGGTGGCATTGGGGGTGGGGCAGTGCTTGGTGGGAGTGGGGTACTGGGAGCCTCTCTAAGGTGTGGGGGAGAATAGGAATGACTTGGCAGGGAAATGAGAATGCTTTCCTGCAACTGGTCGGACTGGAGAGGACTGAATGTGATCACTTGTGTCCGTAGCTTCCTATAATGAGGCCCCAAACTTGGGTGCCTCCTGGAGCTTGGCCTACATGATAAAAAGGCAATGTGGAGTGGTGGGGATTGTGGCAAACCAGAAATCACATAAGCCATTTATCAGTTTGCATTGCTAGAAGTCACTTAATGTTGCTAGATCTTATGCAAAAAAAAAAGTGAAGTCTAGGCTTTTTAAATGTGAAATCACCGCAGGTTTTTAAACATTAGCAGCATATTAAATTTCTTTTAAAAAACCATGCAGGCCAAATGAAATGTAACCTTGTCATCATGTCTAGGTAAACCGTGGTTTGTAAAAGGCTAGAGCAAGCTTCTTCCATTAATTGAATTGGAACCCAGTTTTCTTCAATATACCATCATTTTAAAACATTCCCAATAGGGATATTACTCTTTCCACCAAATATTTCAAAGCAAAACTAAAAGCTTCTTGTTTGGCAGTTTTAATTTTGGAAGATACATTATTGCTTTTAAAAAAAGAAGCCGCTATTAATTTGATACTGGCTTAGGTTTTATCTTACTCCTTTCTTTCTGTTCTGGCTTGAATAGCATTCATCCTTTTCATGTTTCTTATTATACATAAAAGGGACTCGGGAGCAATCGTGGTCCCAGAGCTCTGATGAGAGCCTGGACATGAAGGCAAAGGGAGGGGAGGGCGGGCGTGGGCAGTGGGCTGCCGGGGTCTCTGGAGGCCCTGGGAAATAGCAAGGTGGAACCTGAGCCCCGGATCAGGCGGCCAGGCTCAGATCCCCATTTGCCACTCATCAGCACCGGGACCTGGGCAAGGTGCTTGGGCTTTTTAAAAATAATTAATTTATTTATTGATCGATTGATTTTAGAGAGAGAGAAAGAGAGACATCGATTTATTGTTCCACTTGTTCATGTATTCACTGGTTGTCTCTTATATGTGTCCCGTGCAGGTGTCCAACCTGTAACCTTGGCATACTGGGGCGATGTTCTAACCTGCTGAGCTACCCTGCCAGGGTTTGGTTCTTTGGCTTTTCATGCCTCACTTTCTTCACTGGAAAATGGAAATAGTGTCACCTGCTCCGAGGGTGGCAGTGAGATCTCTGTGAAATAACTTGAGGCCCAGGGCCCGTCGCATGGACATCTCAGTCAGTGCCGCTGATTAGTATTTGTTCCTGCACTTCTGGTGTTCCTGAGTTGGGGGAAGAAGTGGCTTTTGATAATCTCCCAGGTCCGAGGGGTTGGGCATGGCCTGGGAGTACTCTGGAAGAATGCACTCCTGAATTCTGTAGGCATAGGCTTTCTAGTGCGAGAAATTTAAAGTTTCTCTTTCACATCAATGTTTCTCTTTCTCCCTTCCTTTCTTCCTTTCTTCCTCTCTCTCTCAAATCAATAAAAACTATTTGGAAAAAAATTAGGGTGTGCCATATTGGGCAATGCAGACAGAACATGTCCAGCGTTGCAGACAGTTTTATTGGACAGACAGCAGATGGTAGATGGGACCTTAGATGTTGGGATTGGAATCCTAAGTGACTCCGGTAAATTAGAGAAGCATTCTGATTAGTCGTGGGGGCCCGTCTGGCTGGGAAGAGAAGCATCTGGCCGGGAAGAGAAGCGTCTGGCCATGCAAGTCTGGGTGAGGAAGGCCCAGCCAGCTTAGCTGTAAAGTGAGCTTGGGTTTAGTGCGTCTGCAAATGACAGTGTGTGGAGAGAAGGAGCAGACCATGTGGAAGAAGGCACAGCTCGCCTTCAGGCAGGAAGTGCGAGGCTCAGCCTGATTAGAGCCTTGTCAGGGTGCCCTGGCCTGCTGCCTGGAGAGAGGAACTGGAGATTTAGGGAGATTAAAAGAATTAGGATTGCTCAGCCTGTTTTCTTAGTCCACATGTACCTGACCATACGAATTTGATCTAATCATCTGACATCCTGGCCTCATTTAACTGGTTTAAATGTGATTTCCCTGCAAAGCACAGAACCATCCACAGGATTTTGTGAGAGAGCATTGAATCTGATCAGAAGACAGATGCTCACGTCCTGGCTTCCCCACTAGGAAACTGTACTTGACTGCCTGTTCCCTGCTCCCTTGATGTGAATAGGATATTACATTTACTGACTAAGGCAAGTGCCAACAGTGTCTGGCATGCAGTTGGCTCTCAGTAGACCTTAGTCATATTGTGTTGCACCGTCCAAATCGGCTCAGGAATGATTCAAGAAGAGAATGCGTTTTCCTAGCCCTCCACTGGTAATTCATTTTGAAATTAAAATTCAACATTTTATTATGGAAGTTATCATACAAACTCAGAAGTAGAGAGAATACTATGAATGCTCATGATTCATGGAATAAGAATTCCCAGCAAGCATGTGGGGAGTTTAGAGTCCAACCCAGGCAGCCTGGCCTGGAGGCCTACGCTTCCCGGCTCAGCAGGGCCTGAGGGTGGGGTCTGCTGGGGCTGGACCTGGTGACTGACCGTGTCTGAGGACCCAGCAGAGAGTGGACTCTAAACAAGGAGCGCAGGGAATATTCACTGACCTTTAAAAAAATGTATGTGTTCATTGAAAGTTTTCTTGCTGGTTTTTATATTTCTCATCCCCAGAAAGAGTGTTTAGCATATTTAACAACTTCATTTTCCAAGAGGCAAGATCCTGAAACTTTTCTTCCTGGTCCCAAACCTCTGGCTCTGGACTGAATTGAAAGATGTGCTCTAAACTATGACTAATATAATAAGACAGGAGGATGACGTGTTTTTTGTGCAATTTAATACAGTGTTTAGAGGTTTTCTTTTCCCTGAAAAATGTTTTTGTTTCAGTTTGGATTTTTGGCCAAATCATTTTACTGTTGTGCCTGTTTTAGTGTAGAATTGATTCAAATATTCAAAATATGTCTATTCATTGGTTAGGCTTCTTTATATATATATATTTTTAATTAGGTGGCTGGTACTAGAAACCAGACTTATTTTCTAAACAGAACTTTATCAAGACTGGGGCAGGATTTCTCTCTTTCCTTCTCTTCTTAAAAAACAAAATCAGTTGATTCTTTCCGCCCGGTCTCCTTGGCCTGTGCAGCAGAGATCGGACTTGCCCCTGCCTGGTTTATTTTGGCAATGCCGTTAGAGTGGTTTCTTTTTTCCACAGAAAATGTGTTTTGATTTCTTCTTAGAAGAATACGCTTTTGTTCTTCGAAGTTGCATAAATCGAATTGCTTTCAGGCTGCAGACGCCACTGCCTGGTCTTCGTTATCACTGGTCTCCACTTCTTAACGGTGACACTGTTGTGCCCTGGCCGGGTGGCTCCATTGGTTGAGTGTTGTCCCGTGGCGCCGAAGCATCACAGGTTCGATTCCCCGTCAGGGCACATACCTAATTTGCCTGTTTGATCCCCTGTAAGGGCAAGTACAGTAGGCAACCAATTGATGTTTCCCTCTCTCTCCCTCTTCCTTTCTTTCTTAAAATAATAAAAATAAAAACATGTCCTTGGGTGAGGATTTAAAAACAACAACATTTAGACATATAAGCATGTGCTGAAATTGACTTTATAGAAAAAATGACACTGTTGTAAGCATTCTTTATTGCACATTTTTGAAGTTTATACTCTTTTTTCCCATTTTATGGTAGGATCTTATTGCAAACATTGATTTTGAAAGTTTAGATAGTATTTTTTTAACAAAAAAGTTACAATAGTAGACATCTCTTTATCTTAAATCATATTGAAATTCTATTTTAATTTAAGTAAATTTTAGTGATTAAAAGCTGAGTTTTAAGCTTCTTAGGTTTAGACATTTTTGCTGAGATATTTTTGTTGTTATTATTTTAAATCATTTTTTTTTATTTTTAATTACTGTTGACATACATTATTATATTAGTTTCAGGTACACCCCAGTGATCAGATATTATATAACTTAGTGATTCCCCCCAATAAATCCCACACCATGCCTAGTTATTACAGTATTGACTGTATTCCTTATGCTGTACTTTACATCCCCATGATTATTTTGTAACAACCAATTTGCACTTCTTAATCCATGCTTAGATTTAACTGTAACTGCTACTAACTACCAATGATTTTAAACAAATTAACCTCTCCAAGCCTCAGGCTCTTCATTTTTAAAATGGTTTTGTTGTTGGATTTAAATGTCATAATGTATGTGGAGAGTTCTTAAATCAGTCCTTAGCATTAGTATTTACTAAATATTTACTATTATCAATACTTTTCATCCCATTCTTGGTGCCTTAGTGATTAACCGCTTCCTCAAGCATCAGCTGTAGGTTCTGTGAATCCCCCTTTTTTTCTTATGACCATTAGAGCTCTGGACTCTTATGACATCTCAGAATAGAAATTAGGCAAGTTCGTTAGGATTGGGGCCACTGTCTTGCTTGTGTTAAGAGTGCCTTGGAAATAACCATCCCTCTCTTCCTGGAGGTGGAATGAGAATTAGTTACAAGGCAGTGGAAAAGTTTGGCTGACGTATGTTCCTGTCATTGTGAAGATCAGAGGGTGGTCCCGAGGACCGGGAAGCTCTGCACCTGGGCGGCTCTGCACCTGGGCCACTCTGCACCTGGGCTGCCCTGCACCTGGGCCGCCCTGCACCTGGGCCACTCTGCACCTGGGCCGCTCTGCACCTGGGCCGCCCTGCACCTGGGTCGCCCTGCACCTGGGCCGCTCTGCACCTGGGCCGCCCTGCACCTGGGTCGCCCTGCACCTGGGCTGCTCTGCACCTGGGCCGCTCTGCACCTGGGCCGCTCTGCACCTGGGCCGCTCTGCACCTGGGCCGCCCTGCACCTGGGCCGCTCTGCACCTGGGCCGCTCTGCACCTGGGCCGCCCTGCACCTGGGCCGCCCTGCACCTGGGCCGCTCTGCACCTGGGTCGCCCTGCACCTGGGCGGCTCTGCACCTGGGCCGCCCTGCACCTGGGCGGCTCTGCACCTGGGCCACTCTGCACCTGGGCCGCCCTGCACCTGGGCCGCCCTGCACCTGGGTCGCCCTGCACCTGGGCGGCTCTGCACCTGGGCCGCCCTGCACCTGGGCGGCTCTGCACCTGGGCCACTCTGCACCTGGGCCGCCCTGCACCTGGGCCGCTCTGCACCTGGGCATTCTGCACCTGGGCCGCTCTGCACCTGGGCATTCTGCACCTGGGCTGCTCTGCACCTGGGCCACTCTGCTGCAGCTCCCTCCACTCCTGAGCACGGTGGCCAATCACAAGGTCAGCTGTCTTGACCTTTGGTGCCTTCACTTGCTCCTCTAACAGGGAGGAAAGGCAAGCTTTCCCCCTTCCTTTGGGGGAGTGTGGTGGAGGGACCCGTGGAGTCTCCCCGAAGCTGTGTTGCTTTATTTGCTGTCGGGCATTTTTGGTTAACTCCCCAGGGAAGGAGAGGATGGTGAGAAACCTCAGATATCACTAATAATTCTTCTCCATCGCATATAATTTTTTCATGGTAAAATACATATTTTTTTAAAAAGCAAAAGGATCTCAGGTTTAATGGAAGCTACTTCATTCAATTCATTGGTCTTCAAGGGGACAATGATACATACATTTACTAAAAGAAGCTGCACTCTTATGAGTGATGGATGATGATCTCTCCACATTACACATGAGGAACGGGCTCAGAAAGATTCACTTTTCCCAGATCCCGGGCTAGGCAGTGAGAGGGCTTGCATGGGGAGAAATCCATACTTTGGAGCCAACATGCTCAGTGACTTTGAAGTTCAGGGGAGCTTTGCTTTCTCCAACAAGTGGAGATTACATTAGTGATCATTTTGGCAGGATCATCTGTCACCAGGCAGGGCCTCCTTTGGGCTCCTGTGGGGACCTTCTGATGCTGTTTGACTGTTCGAGCTGTGCCTGCACCAGGTCTGGTTTGCGCACGGTTCTCTTTTCTTACAGGTAGACTAAGATCATAGACATGATCTCAAAGGAGCTACATGATCTCAAAGGACCTGCTAGTTCAGGTCAATTCAGGCATAATTATATCGATTAAAAGTATTTGTTGAACCCCTACTCTGTGCCAGGCACTGTGCCTGGCCTTAGGGATGCGGCGTTGTGGCAGACAAGGGCCATGTTCTCATGGAGTTTCTGTTCTGGTATTAATAGTAGAATTTTCTCCCTATTTCCCGGCTCCCTCGTTTTAGAGTAGGGAGGCCCTAGGACAGTGATGGCAAACCTATGACACGCGTGTCAGAGGTGACACGCGAACTCATTTTTTTGGTTGATTTTTCTTTGTTAAATGGCATTTAAATATATAAAATAAATATCAAAAATATACATCTTTGTTTTACTATGGTTGCAAATATCACAAAATTTCTATATGTGACACGGCACCAGAGTTAGGGTTTTTCAAAATGCTGGCACGCGAGCTCCAAAGGTTCGCCATCACTGCCCTAGGAGGTTATGTATGCTGTTCAAGGTCATGCTGATCATTAATTCCAGAGCCTGGACTGGGCCTCCCTGGTGGTTTAGTCCCTTCACTGCCTCCAAAGTGTTGGATGCTGAACATGCACACAGTAATTGAAAGTCTTAAAAAGTGTAAGCCTTCACCCATTCTCCCCCCCTCCCCCCCAGCACGCATATCACTCCCAGGCCCCTTTCCAAGAGGGGCCTGCAGATGCCGGCGTCCTTGGTCCCTTCCAGGGTTACTCTGAGCGCGGACACATGCTTGTACAGCATGTGTGTGGATGCACTTCCCCTTCGGTTGGAGCTGATGACTGTTGGATTTGTACTCCTCCCCCATTGCTTGAGGTACGAACAGTGAAAATGCTGGATGCATTTGAAAAGTTCTGTGCCCCGTTTGTTCCTTGTTGTTGGAAATAGCTCCAAAACACTTAATGCAGTTTTGGGTGGACCTAAAAACATACTTTGCTGTCATCGCTGTGGTATTCTAAGTTATTCTCCACAGCCTTGTTCTGTGTACAGAAGAGGCTGAAACATATTTGTCAGCATTCCCAGAACTGAGACAACATGGGAACCAGAGCCTTTGGTTTGGTTTTGAATTGCCACCAAAGCCAGCCATCTTCTCTCCACACACACCTCCCGCAGGGGCTGCTGCAGGCCCTCCCTGTTGTTGACCAGAGACTGAGCCCCTGACTCCTCAGGGAGCTTTTCTCTTCTCCCTCAGGGGCCCTATCATTTGACCACAACTTAAGAAAGAGGGGCCATGGCCTCTGCCCTTTTCACCATAGGCACTGCAGAGCTGGGCACTCACGGAGACTTTGCGGGACCCAGAGGCGGACCTGAGGGGCTCCGGGGAGGCAGAGAATGAAATGCTCTCGGGGACAGTTTTGCTCAGGACGAGAAAGAAGAGGGAATTAATAGCTACAAACAGGGTCTTTATTTTTATTAATTTGTAACTTGAGGCTTTGATCTTTACTCACATGAAGTAGTTTAACTAAAGAGCAGTACCTGCTTTCTCCAGGAGAAAGCATGCGGCGAGTTTGACATGCTTGCTCTAGTGCCTCCATGGGACAGGCTGTCTGTGCCCCAGTCACTTTTCAGCTACTGTAATTCAGTTACTGTAATTCCGGACAGTAACTCAGCCTCTCGTGCCTCAGCTTCTCCATCTGAAAAGTGGGATGATGATGATATCGCCCACCTCTTAGGGATGCTGTGCTTGGCACTCAGTGCTAAGTAGGCAAATGCTAGATGTTACTACTGTATTATATCAAGCCCTACTATACACTTAGCAAATACCGTATAAAGTTAATTTTAAAAATATTTCTTAACTTTGCTGCGACTCCGAGAGGCCAGGTTGGACATAAGCTAGGAGGTGCAGGCTATTCATTTGATGCTCAGTTAGAGGCCCTGATGGCCGGTCAGCGGAACTCAAGCTCGCAAGCTAATGTCTAACTTGTTTGCCTTCCTCATTAGCAAGACCTGGTACTATTCAGAACAATAAGCTTTTCTACCTGCATCTATGGAGAGAGAGACATTGCCTCCTGCATACGCCCCAACTGAGGCCGGGGATTGAGCCTGCAACCCAGGTATGTGCCCTTGACCGGGAATGAAGGGCATTGAATCATAGTTGTGTTGAGACTAATACTGCAGAACTGCATTTAAATATTTCCTAGGCGAATCCTTGTTTTCCCAGATACAGCACCATTTTTCATGTCAATCACATTTTACTTGGAACAAAGTGCTCTGACTCTCACTGTCGCATGGCTGGTAAGTCACTGTGTTCACTTACTGTCACTTGGGCAGCCCATTTTTGCTAAATATGAACACATTTAAGTTGCTGTGAGGACCTGACTCCATAAAGAGCAACCTTCAGGCTCCCTAGTGAGGTCCAAGTCTAACGTCGGAGACTCCAAGCTAACGGAGTGCGGCATCTCACCGGCATTACTCAGTGAAGAAGGCAGTATAATTTGCAGGGATATACATTTTATTCCTATGCTGTTTCCTTTTTTTTTTCCTTAATCCTCGCCCAAAGGTGTATTTTTATTGATTTTAGAGAGGAAGGGAGAGGGAGAGGGAAACATTGACCCATTGACTCCCATATGCACCCCAACCGGGGATAGAATCCACAGCCTGGGTATGTGCCCTGACTGGGAATGGAACCTGCGACCTTTCAGTGCATAGGACGATACTCCAAGACACTGAGCCACACGGCCGGGCATCCGTATACTACTTTAAAAAGCTATTTCCATTTAAAATGGAAAGAAATACCTATAAACATTTTATTTTTCCTGGATTGACCCACATATATAAAAAGGTGCTAACTATTGATATTTTTAAAAAAAACTCAATTTTTAAGTATTAAACTCCTTACTGAAGTAGGGGCTGTGATGTGGCAGCCTGTGATGTGATTTATAATAAGAATATGTATTTGGTCTTCATACCCAGTTCTGGCACAGAGCTAAGGAAAACCTTGATATTTCTAAGTGGTGAAGGCCAAAGAAGTCTTTTGTTGTGTGACTGAGGTCACTTTGTAAAGCCCCTAGGTAACCATGTGACTGGAGGGTTGGAATTTTCCTGTGTGTCCCCCCTCCACTCCCAGTCACACACACACACATATGCACACACACACATACGTTGGAATTAAGTGCAGAATCCTTACAATACACAGAAGATGCAGTGTTCATTAACCATGAAAAATGCCCTACCTTACTAATAAATAAATACAAACTGAAATGAGATCACCTTTTGCTTTTCTGTTGGGGAAGAGGAACGTTAACACTAGCATTGTGATACAACCTATTCTGCAACCTGCAGAGTCTGCAGTTTTTAATGTTTGAGCCAGTTCTAAAGTATGTGCTACTGATCATTCTGAAAGCGCTGACTTAAAGAGACTGCACGGATTAACATGATAAGCCCCACGTCAGTCACTGGTGACTGACACTATACTTTTCGTCCGGAAGATAAAACAGGCTGGCACTTAACATGTTAACCTAGGTTAGCATGGATCTATTGTACTTTCTAAATAAACATGGAGCCTGGCCGGTGTGGTTCAGTGGTTGAGCCTCAACCTATGAACCAGGAGGTCATGGTTCGATTCCTGGTCAGCGCACATCTGGGTTGTGGGCTCGATTCCCAGTGGGGGAATACGCAGGAGGCAGCCAATCGATGATTCTCTCTCATCATTGATGTTTCTATCTTTTTCTCCCTTTCCCTTCCTCTCTGAAATCAATAAAAATATATTTAAAAAATAAATAAGTAAACATGGAGCCTTTACTAACCTACAGAGGTATGAATATAAATTTATAAAACTTACCACAAAGTTTAGAGCAGAGCAAGACTGAAAGGACTGCAGACACCCACTGTGCCTTCTGGTGTCTCCGGTTGATCTCCATCCGGCAAAGTGACGGTCCGTGCAGGCGGCACTGCGGGGAGAGCCTGCGGTCCCGTGGCCAGTGCTTTCCACGAGAGACGGCCAGCACGTAACCCTAGTGCTGACCAGAGCCTGGCACTGAGGAGTTCGATCTTGCAGGTGACAGGTTACTGGTGAGAGATCACATCCTGTAGCTATAGGACTTGACCGTGAATATTACTGCTGCAATTTTAGCTGTTTCTATAAATAACTTTCCCCATTTATGTATTTAAAAGTGTTCTAGCAAATCCTCCAGCCAGCTAAGTGGTTCTGTAGGCCTGTATCTCTTCACTGCCATACAGCTGCACTTTTGAACGGGGTGCCTGGTAGGTGCAGGTTTCTAGCATCATTTACCTGTTGCTGTAGAGCCACGATGACTCCCCAGGGCGGGCCCTGCTGGCTGTTCCAGGTCCTGCGTTTCTTTCCTGTTGCCCCACAGGTGGGGGCGGAGAGGGGAGGGCCCCAGCAGATCTCGGAGACGCCTTGGGTGTCTGTGGTGCCTGGTGTGGCCGCCCGGTGTGGGGTGACTGTAACATTAGTGTGTGTGGCCTCGGGCATGCTGTGAGCCCGTGAGCCTCGGTCTCCTCCTAGGAGAATGGCAGTGACACTGACTCCTGCAGTCATTGGACAGATTGTCACTGAGTCCCCCGGGGCTTCCCGGGGGCTTAGCAGGGCCCTGCCAGGCACAGGGAGCAGCTGCGAATGCCAGCTCCTGTGGCTACGGACCAGGTGGTACTTTCCTTCCTTCATACCTGCCCTTCTAGGGCTTAGTACTTACGTTTCTAGCGTCTTCAAACACATTTGTCATTTTAAAGGGACCAGATCCTTTTTTCTATAGAATCCTTTTTAACAAGGGAAACATATGTCTTAATCAAAAAGGTACAGAAGTTCCCTCTCCCTTATCTGAATTTTTACTTTTGAAGTGAGAGTCTGTCTCCTTAGCATGATGAAATCTCGTGCCGTCCTGCTCTGTTCTGCCCGGGACGTGAATCATCCCTCTGCCCAGCGTATTCTGCACCCCGCCCGTTAGTCACTGGGCAGTCATCTCCGTTACCAGAGGGACTGTCACGGTATCACAGAGCTTGTGTTCAGGTAAACCTTACTCCTCTTCCTGTGCCTCATTTCCAGATGAAACTTTATCATAGGGATATGCATAGGGGAAACACATAGATGTATATCGGGTTCAGTACTATCTGTGGTTTCAGGCACCCACTGAGGGCCTGGAACGTATTGCTCTGTGGATAAGGGGCGACTACTATATATGTGGCTTTGGTGGAATCATGGCTTTATCTTTATAATTAGACTTGTGTAGCAAGCAATCAACTTTAAAGAAAAAAAAGTGACCTCTTTATTCTTTCCAGATTAGTCTTTACATTTTTTTAAAGAAAAAATAAATATGTGTGTGTGTGTGTGTGTGTGTGTGTGTGTGTGTGTGTGTGTATAATTGATTTCGGAGAGAGAAAGGGAGGGAAAGATAGAAACATCAATGATGAGAGAGAATCATCGTGTGGCTGCCTCCTGCACGCCCCCTACTGGGGATCGAGCCTGCAGCCCGGGCATGTGCCCTGACTGGAATCAACCCTGACCTGGTTCATAAGTTGACGCTCAACCACTGAGACACACCTGATGGGCAGATCACTCTTTGAGGTTCTACATTTCTGCCCATCAGTCTTCACGGGGGAAATGGTCACACTTGGGTTTATGCATTGTCTTTTCAATATAAGGAAGTTGTGCTTAATTGCTTCCAGCTTGAGCGTTCACTCATATGAGACTGTAATCACCAAAAGGAGGGGTCCGGCTTGTTAAATATGGCGGAGTCCCCTGATGGGAAATGTGCACAATGGTGGGTGGAGTGATTGTCCTCCCTCCTGTCCATGGCTGCTGGCCTTCCCCGCGTTTACATCAGCCTAGTCATGGTTCTGACTGCTCTGAGACCCTGTGGAAGGCACCTTTGAACATGAATGTGCTGTGGTAAAGAAATGCCGCTTTAAAGCCTGTGTTTGTTTATTAATATGGATATATTCACAACTGTAGCGTGAAACAAGAAGGAATTTAACACTGTGGACATGCATGTGACACAGCCCCAGCGTAAGGCCACAGTTGGAACTTTATAAGCCACAGAGCACGCGGTGTCTTCTTTCCCCTGGGGTGTCGTCCTGGTCAGACAGGGATTTAGCTGGGAATTGAGAGCTGCTGTGCTGGTCACATGCTGCCTGATAATCTGTGTGTGTTTGCAGAGAGAGAGAGAGAGAGAGCGAGCGCACGCTCACGACAGCGAGTCAGTGCTGAGCAGCTTGTAATAGAGCTTTTATAAAGGTTATCTGCCCTCTCCCTCATTTTTATTTGCTTAGTTCCTTGTATGAGGACGTTGAGCAGCAATTCGTATTTCCCTTCTTCTCTCAAAGACATTGTGTACAGTGCAACTTTAACCCGTCCCAGAGGCAGTGTGATGGTGGCCATGATCCAGAGAACTCACCCTGGGGCATGTGCTGACTGCTTGGCTCTGTTAAGCATATACTTATATCACCTCTGTCAGACCCCATTGCCCCATGAGGGGGTGCTGCAGGTCCACAGCTAGCCATGGGGTCTGGCTTCACATAGACCCATGTTCCTAGCCCAGCCCTCTGTCTTGCTCACCCACCCCCTTAAAGTTGGTCAAATCTGTGCAAAGAACTAGAAATGGGAAGTTGTCCTACTTGGGAATGAAAACTTACTGTGATGAAACATTATACTCTAGCCCTGACATCCCTCACCCTTGACTTTGTTTTCCTTGATGCAAAAAAGTCTAGGTCTAAGGGAGCAGATGATAAAAGGAGACATAAAAATAGTTGACTACCAATGGTCCAATTTGAAGTTTTACTGGGAAAATTATCTCTTCTTTTTCTTTTAGGACCATTTTTTCTATTTTCTGTTTTAGAAGAACTTAATGCACTACAGAGCCCTCGAGGCTCAGGGCAGACCTAGGGTTGAGCAGGGTTCCTTGCCAGCGATCTCAGCCAAGCGGCCTGTGTACTCAAGAGGGACTCAGAGCGAACTCTGTGGTGAGGCCTGGGAAAGACACTCACCTGAAATCCGAGGCTCCCTGTGCTGAGCACAGTCACGTGGCAGGTGTGGCTGAGGAGTTACCGGGCCGGGTCCCAGGAAGTGGCACCCGGCTCAGGGAGGAGGCTCACCTTAGAACTCACCTTAGACCAGACCGATACCCTTCGTCCACTGTGGCTCTCAAGTTCCTCTTTCTTCATTTAGAAAACCTTACAGTGAGGTCCTTTTGAACTGGTGGTGCTTACCTTTCTTCAGACGGAATTCTAGAAGTGTGCAGTCGGGAGGAATGCCGTGGGAAGGGGCGAGTGGGTTACAGTGTCTCTGTGTGTTTAAATCTTCAGGCAGGTTAGTCTGTGATATTACGCTTGCCTTCTACAAAGCTTTACCTTTCTTGATTTCTCTTTTAGGAATGACTCTATTTGAAGAGTTCTAAGAGACTGAAAACTTACACGATACGAAGTTGTGCCCAAGGAATGTTTTTAATCTTTTGTACGATTTCTATCGTGGAATCTGCAGGCATATGGAAGAAAGCCAAAAAGGGAATATTGTTGTTCTGCTGAAGACAGAATTCAGTTGGCGTTGAAACAAGTTTTGATTTTAAAAAGTCTCATGAGAAAATTATCACATTTCCAGGGAAGAAAAGAGCTCATTTTTTATCTCCCCAACTGCCGTTAGCCACCACCCCATGGTGTATACACCACAGTTTTTTCCAGTATGATCACTCTGTACAGTGGACATATTCGTGTACAGTCTGAGCTGATGCTCTGTGTGTGTGTGTGTGTGTGTGTGTGTGTGTGCACCCACACATGTACTTCTGTTCCCCCAACCCTTACTTCTATGTTACTACTGGTCGTAAGAAGATTCTCTTACAGTTTAACTGCTGCAGAAGATAAAGACGGCTCTGGTAGTGAAAGGTCCCTGAGGATAACCTAGTTGGCCCTGAGAAATGGATCCCCAAGAGGCCCCGGCGTCAGACGCTGGATGCTGAGACCGAGAATTCAGTGCTGACTCCTGCTACATCATGCCGCTCTTAGGTCACTTATAAAATATTGGGAAGTTTTGTGTTTGTTTTTATTTTAACGTGAGCTAAACAAGTCTTACTTAGTTTATTCAATAAAGGGGAAAGTGGTTTAAAGTCACAAAAACAAAAAAAATTCTTGTTTTGACAACCCAAGTTCAAATAAAAGGAAAAATCTCCGCTTCTCATGCCAGACGGCTGCTTTCCCCCGGCCGTTTTCTCTAGTGCATTGCTGGTTCCATCTCGTAACTAATGCTTGTTATTTGAAAGAGTCGTGGTGGTTTTTCCCCTTTGGGCTTGGAAACCCTGCTTTTTTCTTTGCCTTAGGGTTTATGAAACACCTGGAAGAACTCAGAGGCCAAGATAGTGAATTTATGGTAGGTCTGGGCCAAAGCCTGGGAGGGTCCACTTCCAGGGAGAGCTCCCAGGGCCGCTGGATGCTTGCTCTATTTCAGAGGGAGAAAGCACATTTCTCACTTGACTCCCAGGAGGTGATTTCCATTAAAATGTATTTAAAGTATTTACTGTAAATAAGCTCATTCCATTCTGTTTCTGGCATCAGACTAAAGCTTCTAACCTTTTAAATGAATGGTAGGTTCAATTTCATGTGAATTTTTACTGACAACTGATTAAAAGGCATACGTGTACACATACATCTACACAGTGGACTAGAGGAAGTCAGTGTGGAGGAAATTTCACTGAGGTCCAAAAAGTAGCAATATAGGAATTTTGGGGATGTGAATTAGTAAATATGTGTGAACTAGACCAATAGTTTTAGCTTTTTTTTTTTTTTTAAGAAAACATCATTTTTTGTTTATTCGAAGAATACACTCTCAGAATGGTGAGGGATAATATGTAAGATATTCTTCAGCTTTAATTATTTTTTAACTTTATTCAGGTCAGAGCACTTTTTATATAATAGCAATACAACAGGCAGGAGAATACTCAAAAATATTTAAGATGATTGTATTTATACCAACAGTACATTTTAAATATTTTCTAATACTTGAGCAGTTTTTATCTGTCTGCAAAATATGCCAAAAGTTAAGCATTCAATATTTTCAACGCATAAGCTTTTTACTGGTTTCTAAGATCTAATAAGAGCTCGAGTGTTCCCAAAGCGAGTGATGTTTACAGGCCTGTGCTGTCCTCCCGCGAGGGACGGAGGTCCGCACAGACTGACCGTGCACAACACTAACGATGATGGACTGACTGCTGGTGTAAATGAGTGGGTTGGCTGCCACCTCGATGTAAAAATTTGTAAAGGAAAATTTTCACCCTTATGAGTGTCAAGTGTATTTTTAACTGTCTGGTTTGTACTTCTACGACTTTTGTACTACCAAAGCAGAGTTAAAAATAAAAATGTTAAATACAGTGTGCTGCTTTTGAGTGATCCGATTGTTGGCGCCTTAAGTACAATGTGGGTGTGTATTTTATGGAGCTTAATATGACAGTGCCTAATTTCTTGCGTCTCATTTGGCTGGCTTTCCTCATGGGATTTACCCGCCATAGTAACACCATTCCTCACCCCCGCCATAATGATTTTCTAAATTTGGAGATAGCCCTGGCCGGTGAGCAGTGGTTAAAGCATTAGCCTGCTCACCGAAGGGCCGTGGGTTCAATTCCCGGTCAAGTGCACGTACCTGGGATGCAGGTTCGATCCCGGGCCCCAGATGGAGCATGTGCTAGAGGCAACCGATCGATGTGTCTGTCTCACAGCGATGTTCCTCTCTCCTCTCTTCCTCTCCCTTCCTCCTTTCCACTCTGTCTCAGAAGGAATGGAAAAAATATCCTCAGGTGAGGATGAATCAAAAGGGGCCACTTGGGGGGACGAGTTTCACTCTTAATCAGCCTTTTGACATCTCCAGCACAGGTGTAATGCAGAAGGTGGGGGATGGTCACTGTTCTCTTCTGTCTTCCTCAGCTTGTCAGGGAGCAGGTGAGCAGTGGTCCCACGTGGAGACAGAACGCCAGCCCTGCAATGCCCACCTTAACCATGAGTGCAGCTCACCCAACACGCACAGGGCCTGGGTGAATTTGCCAGGGCGACTGTCCACGGCCGGGGATGCTCCTGCCCTTCCTTCTCAAGTCCATGGTGATATGTAGGCTCCCTCCACCCTAATACAGCCCTAACATGGAGGAACCCTGCCTTCCCTCCCACTGAGGGCAGGGGTGTTGGGGCCAGGAAGTGGGGTCCCACGATCCAGCTCTGGTTGCCGAGGGCTCAGCTGTGGTCAAAGGGGTCTCTGTTTTGCACCCGAGGTCATTTTCAGGTCCTGGGTCCTCTTCACCCTTTTGTCCGTGGGGCAGGTTGGTTTTACCCAGGGCTTCCTTTGTTCATTCCTCACCTTCCCGGGACTGTTCTTCAGGACTGTTCTCAGACCCCCCTGGGTGTTCCCTCATTGTAGCTCCAAGCAGTTGTAAGGACACCTGGGACTTCTTTGTGTCCCGCACTCTGTGGCGGCCCAGCTGGGGTCGCTGTCCACTCCATCCTATTCAGATGGTGTCAGGCGGGAGGTCGTCGGCCTTGCAGAGCTGGCGCGCCCTCTGCTGGCCAAATGCAAGAACTGCATGGCTTCGTGGCCATTTGTTGTGCTGTGTCTTCAACTGGAGCTCAGAAAGGACTCATGGTTATTTGCTGAGTAAATAAATAAAAGTCTACCTTTAAAAATCAAAGACTGTCCTTAACTACTTTATGGAAGTAAAAATTCAAGTTTGTGGTTTCCCTGCCCCGCTTTCTGACCCTGGCAGTTTCAGCCTTTCTCAGCAGAAAGCCCCGTTTCCTCCCCGGGAGCGCGTCCCTGCAGGTGTGACCCGGGACCCGGTGGAAATGACTGAGCCGCGTGCTGGAGGCAGCCCACGCCCTGAAGCCTGTGCCGGAAGTGCTTGACTGCGGGAAGCAGTGTGATCTTCAGCAAGTAGCCCGGCCTTTGCTTTTGAGTCGAACAGCGGCGCTGCCGCTCACTGCTGTGTGATACTGGGAAAATTACTTTACCTTTAGAGCCGCACGTTCCTCGTCTGTACGCTGACCTACCTCATGGGGTTTTTAAAGATCAGAAACATGAGTGCACAGTGACGGTGCCCGCGGCGAGCCGCACGCCCCCCGGCTCAGCCATGCGTGGCACTCAGAGACGGTCTGTGTGCATCTGTCCCGCGGCGGGGAGCCAGGTGGCCTGCGAAGTGGCCCAGCACACACACAGCTTTAGCCCCGAGAGTGGAGCTGAGTCAGCAACTTCTTGCTCTCAAGCTGAACCCTGAGGTTCACACAGGATCCACGGAAGAGGGGAGGGTCCATGTTTTGAGGGGTGAAAAAGTACCTTGTAAAGCACAGCGTAGGAATGTAGTTAATAATACTGCCATCACTATGTGTGGTGCCAGATGGGCACTGGAAATATCAGCGGGAACACTTTGTAAAGTATGTGATTGTCTAACTATTACGCTGTATACCTGAACTAATACAAAATGACGTTGACTGTAAACTGTAATTGGAAAAAATCCTATCTAATAAAGATGGAATATGCAAATTGACCATAACTTCACGATAAAGATAGTAGCGCCCGCAGCCAATAAGGAGGGAATATGCAAATTGACTCTACAAGGCGAGAGGCGGAAGGTGGCTCTGGCCGGAGTGAAGGCAGTGCTGGCAGCCAGGGGAAGGAAGGCCTATTCTTGCACAAATCTTCGTGCATCGGGCCTCTAGTAAAAAAAGCAAAAAAAAAGAAAAGAAAAATAAGGATGAAGATGCAGTACAAGCAGGGAGCAGCTGACAGGCCACCAGCCCAGCACCTCTCCCTTCTGCAAATGCCACCTACCCCTTTTGGAGAACCTTCCTCCTTCTAGAACCCAGCCATGTGCCTTTCTTCCCCACTGCAGCCGACGCAACCGAGGTGGGCACTGACCGGCCTGTGACCTGGCATATGACCCGCCGGTGACCTGCCTGGTGGAGCCCCTCCTTGAGATGTTTGCCAACTGGAGCTGGAAAAAGTGTTCTATTTCTCTGGTGGCAAAAGCTGCAGGCTCAGAGGCTGGTGGAGGCCAAGGTTCCTGCCATGTGGTCGTCAGCCGGTCTGAAGAAAGGAAGGGGCATGCAGAGGGAAGGGAGGCAGCCTGCTTGCTTTCAGGCCTCAGGCTCAGCTGCCCTTCGGAGTTTCTTGTGTTCCAGGGACATTCCTCTTTTTCTTTAACTAGTTTGGGTTGAGTTTCTATCACTTGCAACAACAACAACAAAAACCCATGACTAATGCAGTGACTCAGAAGGCATCACAGGGCCACCTGGAGCATCTGGCACCTGGCCCTACAGCTGTGGTGGCTCAGAGCTGCCTTGGATCTGCAGCCAGGGACCTGGCCGTGGTGTGGTTTCTGCTCTGAGATGCTTGTGCAAACCCTGTCTTTCCCTCCATGGCTCTCGGTCTTTCCTTGATTTCCCTTCGGGGGCGGGGGGCGGGGGAGCGTGATTCTAGCTCCTGTACGTGCACAGCTTTGGACATTCCGATGCTTCTGGCCACCTGTGACCTTAAAATCTTTGGATCTTAATCTTCTAACTACAGCGTGAAAGTGATATGTGCCTTGTAGAGTGGTGGTCACGGTTATGAGGTTGGGCGAGTCATGTACTTAGCCCAGGGCTGGGGACAGTCAGCGCCCATTCAGTGAGCTGCCTCAGAGCAGCCAAGCTCACACCCTCTTTAGCAAAAGAAATGATAGAACGATGGCAGTTTGGCCATTTGAGAGTCGGTGCTTGATGTTTCTGCCACGCTCACATTGCTTCATGTTTGAGGATGGACCTGGGGTGGGGGTACGGGCCCTAACTAACGTAGGAGGAAGCAGGTAGAAACGGGGCCTGAGATTTCCCCAGCGCCAGGTCACAGACCTGAAGTGAGAGAATGATCTCATTGTCCTGATGTTGAATGGACCCAGATAGACAAGGTAAGGGGCAGGTTTCTGTTTGTTCTGGCTGTTGTTTATCTTATCACTCTCATGATAAGACATGAACTCAGTATAGCCATCTCAGCGGGTTTAAAGGAACTTGATTACTTTTTATCTGCAAATTAATCTAGCTCAGAAAGTTGGATAAATGCTCTTGGAATTGTAACATTATACCCAATGGCAAAATTCATGGGTTTGCCTATTATGGGTGAATATCTTAATGTTGACCAACACAAATAAACATCAAACAAAACCACCCCTCTGAAATAAGCCAGGCCTGCCAAGTCCAAAGTTCTGTCTTCCATTAGAAATGCATTTCGTTTTATAAAAGCTTATCTGGGGCAAGGAAGGATATGTGAAGTAGATCGAGCAAATATTCATTTCAAACAGTATGACTTAAAATTGTAACATAAATGGCTGTGTGTCCTATGATGGTCACGTCATAAAAATAATGAAAATAAATAACGAGAATTTTCAAATGTATTAAATTTGAAGTGCCCCCAAGATTTTTGTCTTGAGACGATTATGAATAATGTAGGTAGAAAAGCACGTACCTAGTTTAGGAATTGTTTAATGTTATTAGGAGTGACTCAGAGAGCTTTGGTGGTCACAGCACTCAAAATTTAGTTAATAAAGAAAGTGTTAGGCCCTGGCCGGGTAGCTCAGTAGGTCAAAGCTTGTCCCGATACGCCATGGTTGTGGGTTTAATCCCCAGTCAGGGCACATACAAGAATCAACCAATGAATGCATCAATAAGTGAACAAGTTGATGTCTCTCCCTCTCTCTCTCTCTTTAAAAATCAATCAATAAAAATTGTTAGAAAGGAATATACAAAAAAATTTTTTAAGTGATGAGTGCTACTCATAAAAAGGGGTCCAGTGTCAAATTATTTTTTACTGGGTAATAAAATGACACCAAACATCAATTAATTACCTCGTGCTGGGTATGTACTAATTACTTTATACTCTGTATCTCATATGTCTCATTACAGCCCCGAGGGAGGCATAGCCATCACTTCTGCTTAACAGGTGACAAGCCCCAGGAAAGGAATCTCAAGCTACGTCATACTGTCTGTTCACGTGGTGAACATAGATGGTCCCTGGGCCCACCTCATGCTCTGTGGGATAAGAAGTCCATGGTCCCATGATTGTTGTAAAAACTCAACTATCATCACTGATAGTAGTAGTCTCAGAGATCTTACAGACAAGTTCTTGACTATAATCTTTAGATTCTTTATTACATTCCTCCTCAGAACCAGAAAAAACACACACCTTCTTTCCCAATTGATAATGCGTGTAACTTCTCTTTTCCAAAATTGAATGGTCCTTCTCTCCGTTGTTTTGTTTTCAAGTTCCCCCACCTGTCAGCTCTCAGAATTCATAACATGGTGATTGTTGCGTTCCCTGAAATGACGGAGACCACAGGCTCTCTCTTCTTGGATATTTCACATTT